CTTCTGCTGCATCCGCAAATAAATTTAATACCCTAATACATCCTTCCAGCTGTCCATCTTACCAGGTGGCTCTTTCTTTCATCATTTTCCCCCTTTGTTCCCCTCTGCCCACGCCCTGACACCCACCCTTTAGCCCTTTTCAAGGACATGGGGCCGAGGAGCCTCTCCACAGAGCGTGGCAGCCATTTTGTGTTCTGCCACTGGGGGAAGACTGACTGGCACACCTCTCACTTTCAATTATTTTTTATTATATCTGACCAGGCTAACATCATTAGCGGTGATCTGAGCGCTATCAAGCTGTTACACTCAATTTAGATAGCACTTCCATTTAGTTAATAATGAGGAGGGAGAGGGAGAAATGGACCAAAGGTGGCTACAGACCACAGATCACAGCTTGGAGAGTCACGTAGTCCCTTCAGTCTCCTTCATCCCTCCTTCAGCCTTTAATAAAGCTCAGGTGAATTCTTTGCTTGAGGCACAGGACTGAGTGTTCAGGGTGTTTTAAAATCAAACACATTGCCACATGTTTTGTGGTGTGAGGAGAAATGCTCGCTGCCCTCACAGAGCCAGGGTACGGAGACGATATGGACAAGTGCAACAAGGATGATTCAGGTGGAATGGGAATCAGATTTTATTTCCTCATATTTAGGAATCAAATTCCCAGTTTCCTCATATTTAGGAACCAGATGTTAACAGCAGAAAAAAACCCCAACATGAATGCAATACTGCGTTTTAGGGATCCTTCCTACAAAATGCCATTCAAGCATCAGTGAAAGCTTTCCTTGAGCCTCAAGGAAGTAAGGTGAGGGGGCATTTTTCCCCTATAACGTGCCCCTGTCTGGAGGTTGGATGGGGACACTTGGATCGGTTTTGGGGAGACCAAGCAAAAGGCAGTGGATGCTCCTGGCTGTGGGCCCAGGGGCTTGGAGCTCACCCAGCAGTAATGCTGCTGATTTCAGCCCCTCCTGGCTGACACTTGAGGACATCTTTAAAGACAAGGCAGCACCAAACAAAATAAACGCACCCCATTTAGCTTGAAAACTGGGTTGTGACAAGAGTCAAAATATATTATTACTTGCCTGAATGTCACTCAGATATCACTGACCTTCAAAATAACCTTGCAGGAGAGGACTGTCCTCCTCCTGGTCATTACATCAAAGACACCAGGGGGATCGGAAATATTTGCCCCCGTACTCAACCTGCAAGCAGCACCGGTGCAGCACTGTGCATTAGCACGGCTTTTCTGATCAGGACGGATCTGACAAGGAAAGACTGCAGCGCAGCCACAGTAGCGCGGATAGCAGAGATAGTGGGCTTGCCAGACGTCTTTTAACGCTATCAAAGTGTTAAAAATTATATGAAAAACACTGGCGCCGCAGATGTCTTCAAAATACCAGAGTCTCCTTGGCTGCCTGCTAAAATAACCTCACAGCATTGCAGGGCACGAGAACGCGGAGGAACAGGCTGTACTTTATGCTGTTCAATTCCACAACAAAAGAAGGGAAGAGAATACTCTCTCCCACAATTGCATCTTTCCCAGCAGACACCAACCTTGTTTCCAGCTGGGGCTGTGAGTGCCCTGGCTGCTAATGCCTCCTTAATGCTCTCAGCCATCACTTGTGTGCGCTCCTTGCACAAGTCTTGCAGTGAACAGACTCTGCTTGTTGACTTGTAAGACTGGAGAGAGAATTAAGTGAAATAGCTCTTTGTTTGCCCAAAGAGGCTGAGGCCAGGAGGGTTGGGCAAGCTTGTGAGCCCACCTCACCTTCCTGGTGAGCACAGCGTATGGGCTTCACATGGCTCCTTTGCTAAGTTTAGGTTGGGATGGAGAAACATGAGTTGGGAGCTATGCCTGGCAGAGCTACACCCTCAGGAGCTAGCTTACTTGGCACTTAAAGGTCCTCCTGAAGCCTGGAAGACACATCCATCACCCCTGCTGTACGAAGATGGTTGCAGTGCAGAAGTGAATCCGACTCAGCCCTGTCGGTGTGGCAGGAGGGGCTGTGGCAGGAGTGGGAATGAGGGCCTGGAAAGAGCCAGAGCCATGGAGGGGAAGAGCTGGGCACTGACACATTGTGTGACATGGTCTCCAGATGGACCCGGCTGACTTGCTTCCCTTCCCAGCCCCTGTGCTCCTCAGGGTGCCAGATGAGCTGCTGCTCAGCAGCCAAGACCTGCAGCATCCACCCCCTTCCCCTAGATATGATCACGCTTCTGAAAGAGACAAAACAATTTCAGGAGATTTGTTTAAAGCACTTTGGCATCCTCTGGGCTGAAATGCCTTTGTAAAAAGAGGATACTATAATTGCATTATTAATAGCAACTCCATCTAACCTCCAGCTTTCCAAGAACCACCACAGGCTACGTGGAAATCTCCTAAGTCATTGAAGTGGCCCTGGGATGTCACACTTGGGACTGAGATCTGGAGCTTGCTTCTGCTGAAGAGGACCCCAGCAGCAGATCCCCTTGCAAGCACCAAGAACCAAACCTCTGACTTGAGCACTGCCTTCCAAGCAACAGCTCTTCTGCTCATCCTTGCTTTCCCAGTTCCAGACTTCTGCAGACCCTGGGCTTTTATCATAAGGTAAATACACATTCTCATAATAACCTTCATTAACTCGTGTAGTTAAAGATGAACCAATGATTCATATAAAGCCCTTGCTTAACAACAGAAGAACGTTGCAACTAACCTTGCCCCCTTCTGCCCTCCTGCTAAGCTCCCAAGCGTACAGAAATGTCTGAAGGCAATTTCTATAAACAATCCACTTTACCCTTTTCTATGGTCACTTAAAAAAAAAAAATTAACACAGACAAGTCACCCAACCTATTTGGCAAGCACCCTTTACTGTGACCCCCGCCAAGCTCAGCCTGATACATTTTCAGCACATTCATCATTAGGATAAATATTTGTGTCCATGCACATGCAGATAAACAGTTTTGGAAAACACAGGCATTGAAAAAAACAGATGACAAGTTTGGCTTAAAGAGATTAAAAAATAGAAGCTAGATCTTTTTGACTTTTTACTGTTTGAGGGCTTAATACTGTATTTTTCAGCCTTCAGCTCCAGTCGTGAGGACTGGAAACATTTTGCAAAACAAAAACCTAAGTGTTGCATATAATCACTACTCCAGCAGTGGGTGATTTATAGGTGAAGGGATCTAAAACTACACTAACTAGCAGTGCTGGTGTGGCTGCAGTCTGTACAGATAGGGATGGGACAGAGGTACAAAAAAGTCCCCAAGATGTTCCTCATTCACTCAGATTGAATGGAGTTCCAAATCTGCAGTACCACTCAGTCCTACATTTCTTCTGCACATGGGGAAAGATGAGAAGGGAAGCCTGAGACCTGTAGCTCTGCTACACTCCTGCCCTCATGCGCATCCTCTGAGGACACGCACAGAGTCAGACCCTGCAGTGGCCATGGGCCTTCCTCCAAACCTTCTGCACCTTCTTGCCAAAAAGAAATTCAGAGGCGCAGGGGCCCATCAGAACAGAACTAGGGGTTGCCACAAGTGCCTGTTTTGAGTTCTTTCAGTGACTCCCTGTTTTAAACTTCTTTTGTTTCCTATACCTTATGCTTCTCCTGCAGCTTCCACCTGCTCTGCCCTTTCAGGGTACCATCTGCCAACAGCTGGGGTTTCTCTGCTGCAGGGCTGCAGCCGGCAGGTCCATCATTCACCAGAGATGTAATCCCAGGGGCTGCACAGACCTGTGCCAAGGCGGGAACAGAGGGAGAACCTCCAGGATATCACTAACCACATGAGAGGAGCTCAAAAAGACATGCTTTGTAGCCATGGCAAAAAGGCCTCCAGCCGTGGCCTGAACTCACTGCCCAGACAATCCTGTATCTTGCTTTACCCAATGGCTACAAATATAAGGGTAGAAGGAACAGAGCTCTCAGTCCCTCAACCTGTCCTACTCCTGGCTTCAGCGCTTGGTTCAAATAGCATTCTCAAAACAGCCTCCATCTTGAGCACCCTACATGGCTATCATTAACACCTTAAGTCTTGAGCAATTTGCCCTTGCCCAGTCTTCCTAAGCAAAAAAAAAATCAGCTTGTTTGTCCTTACCATGCTCTCCTACCAGTTGCAGCTTCCCATAAGAATCCGTGCCCAAATTTACAGGGCTATTAACCACGGCCACGGGTGAATTGCCATTCTTCTTTCCTTTGGGAACCGGAACAGAACTGGCTTTGCTAGTTGGAGAAGGCAGGATGGTAGGATAGTTCATGTTGCCATGGTTGGAGAGTCCAGCAGTCAGTTTAATGCTTGCAGGGGCATTGGAAGACTTACAGTTCACTTGTGGTCCTTCGACATGACAGTCTGCATGGTAAATGCTGTGCACGGACTCTGAATCTGGAGGAGGAGCAGGGCTCTGCAGGTTGGGTGATGGAGAGGGAAGCATCAATTGGCCTCCAGGTTTCATGACCTTAAGTTCCAGGTCACAGATCTCAGGGTTGGAGCGTGGCCCCCGAGGGCTCCCATTGCTGATGTGATAGTGGTGGTGGTGGTGGTGATGGTGATGGTGGATGAGGTGGTGTATGGAGGTGATGTGCTTTTTGCCTCGGTGGCTTTGCCCATTTGTCATGCTGTTTGGGTTAACTTTTTTCCGGCGCTTACTCTGCCAGTTATTGTACAGGCGTATTGTCCGTCGTTTCACCTTCCTGAAGATGTGGCAGATGTACTTGAGCAGCTCCTCGTAGCAGCTACCTGGCTCCGAGAAGCTGGCAATTGTGCTGTCGTTGGAGAGATAACGGGCCCGCTGCTCCTGCATCAGCTGGTTCTCCCGCTGCTTTGTTTCAGAAAACTGTGTTGCTATCACAACCAGGCACAAGTTAATCATGAAGAAGGAACCAACCTGGAGAAAACACAGGGAAAGGAATCAGCAGGGACTTTACAAAGCAAGACACACTCTTCCCTACCACATGCTGTCTGGACTTGAAGTGTGGTTCTTAGAAATCCCGAGATTTCCAAACATGCCAAATCTCAGGGTCTGTTCACCAAATGTTATGTCAACATGTGCCTGAGCTGCTAAATTTGCTCCTAAGCCATGTTAAATTATTTTGGCAATGGCAAAGCAAGCTGTTAACAATAGCCTCAATAGCCTTCACCACTTTCCTCCTCTCAACAGTGATGACATTTGCTACTAACCCAGGGTGTATGAAACACAACGCAACCAGTTACCACCACAGATCACTAGGGAACACCTGGCCAGACTGCCAGGAAAGATGGTCTGAAGACCAGTTTGTGCTGTACTGAAGCTGCCTCTTCCTCTAACACTTCACACCACGGCATAGTGCACTCTCATTTTGAGGAGGACAGTCAGAGTCTATGCATCTGTGAGATACTCTTGTCTCTCTCTGACACAGAAATACATCTCCAGGAGATTCAGTGCTCCTAGAAAGGCCTGATTTATTGTCTGATTGAGTTGATGTGTTCTTGGGTGATACCAGGTTTTCAGAATGAAGTCCCAAGGACAAGAAAGTGAAGTCACCTCAGGCTACATCCTTCCCTCAGCTGTTGAGTCCACAAACTGGTTTTTCACCACTTGGGTTCATAAATCAGCCAAAGGAAAATGTCAAATATTCCCATCAGAGAATCAATGCCCTTAGGCGTGAAAGGGACTGACGTCAAGAAAGTGCCACTGTCTACATGGCCAAACCTCTGTGCTGTGCTCAGTAGGAAACGTATGGATTTAATCTGGACCATTGTCTGGTGAATCCTCAGGGGAAGCCGTTGGGAGATGGTTTACAGTGCTATTCTCCAGTCTGTAATATCAGCCTGGATACTGTTTGAGAAGCAGCAAGGGTGCCATTTCCAGCTCCAAGTGACTTGGAGATTAGTCACCTTCTGGCTTTTCTGCAAGGATCCATATGTAGAGAAGGGCTCAAAAGAGTGGAGCGTAAATCTCTACTACGCAAGGCCCATTGCTAAAGGCTCAAAAATCACTCCTTCAGGATGCTATCCATTACTGGGAAACTCTCACACTGCTCCGATCCATGCTTTTCCCACTAGTGGTGGGAGCTGTGATAGTTTGACTTCCCAAGGCCTTCAAAACCACATTGACGAGGATGGGGTTATATATAAAGAATATCCAGTCACAAAAGCACTTCGAAGTGCCTACATCCAATGTCCTGCCTGACATCTACATGGTACTTTTCCCTCTGCTCTCCCCAAACTTAAATGCTTAACGTTTCCACAGATGTAGGCTCCTGGAGAAGGTTGTGCCCATTGTAAAAAAAGAATCTTGCTAACATGGAATGGCAACTTCTGAAGGAAATCTCCAGCACCTCCAGTGAGTAATACTTTGTTTTTAGGAACGACAGCACCGTGAGCCCTCAGAAAAGTGCACTGCTTTTATTACTGTTATTTAAAGGGCTCAGGTGTGTTCAATAGTTTGAACTCTTTGAACCCTTAATTGAAATGAAGTGTCCTCTGGCATGCTGAAGAGGCTAAAGGAGGAAAAGCTACAGCCTCTCCACTTCTGTTCTGATTAGCAGTTGCTTGGCCAAGGCACAATAGTTAGGACACATCAAGGTGACAAGACCAAGACTGTGAGAGTAAGAGGGAGGGAAGACCATATGGCTTGACAAGCTGTGACTATGCATCACATGTGACACTAAAAAGGACTGCTGCAGCCAATAATCTGTCCCTACAGCACTAATCACAATCTGCATGATTACACTTTATGGCGGGAGGAAGGTCCCCCACTCTGAATCCTAGCTGGCTCTTCTCTGTGAAAAGCCCAGGGAACAACTTTACCCCACAAGGACAAGGAATGGGAGCATCTCATGGTTCATACTTACTATTATAAGCAATATAAAATATATAAAATTGTAAAAAGAATGTGCATCCATCACATAATACATGATGTCAACCCATCCTTCCAGGGTTATAACCTACAGGAAGACAGAGAAAGAAAGAGTGAGAACAAAAGTCAAACAAAAAGTCAGTAAACAGCAATCTCCTGATAGTGCCTGGTACTCATCACTCCACAGCACGTCTCAGGATCCATCCAGACCTGCTGCGCTTCTTTTCCCAGTTGGCTTAGGACAGCAGCAATGTGTGACCAAAGACTGGCCTGAGGTTTCTACAGGAATCTGGTATGATTAAAATGATAAAAAATTACAATAAAACATCTGAAACACTGATGTGTTTCACAGCCAGTGCAAAGAAATTCCAAGGAGGGATGATAAACAAAACAAAAGCCTCTCTGTGCAGAGATCTGGGCTTTTACCGTAGGCTCCTGGTTTTGTAATGCTACCCATAAAATTCCCAAGTTTTTAAGTCAATTTTGTTTCTGTACAACCAATTTCTTTGTGATTCCTACTGGCTCATGGCTACAACTGCATCACCAATATCATAGTGGGAAAGCCTCTGAATGGCAGCAAGTTACTTTAATTAAATGTAGAATTGATTTCATACTAATTTTCTCAGTTTTCCTTCCACTAAAAAAGAAGCTGAGGATTTAATGACCACCACACAAGGCTGTGTGCAGAGAAAAGCAAATTCTGCCATGTATTTTATGCTTTTTATTTAGATAAAACATACCAAACTTCTATTGCTATTTTGCTACTAGTCCTAGAGCTGAAATTCCAGCATGATTTCCACAAAAATCAAAGCTCCTGTCTGAATTTACTTGCACTGATGTACCGTATCTGCTACGCCAAATGTGAGCCTTGGTGGTCCTAGCACAAACCCAGAATTGCTGCCTGCCTCCAATTTCAGTGGTATCATTCCTGATTTAAACTATGTTTGCAGTGAAGGAACTGTGAATTAGCTTGCTGTGAACAAGAAAAGGATCAAGCCTCATCGGTGTGGAGAACTTTCTGTATGGCATGTAAAGAAAAGCTGAACCATAAAGCACTTGCCATTGAGGCAGTGAATAAAACAATGTTCTTGTCACGCCTGGAGCACCAGGGCAAAACACTTGCAGGGAACTCAGATATGAATCCTTGCCACTTTTCTCCTGTTTTTTTTTTTTTACTCAAGGAGCTGGAAGAAGCTTCTAGGTATGGATCTTTGGTATATGACCACATCTGCAAGGGAGAGAGCATTGCTGTCCACAAAACCATCAGTACTCACAGCTTCCCTGAGACTGCCAGAGCACCTTCCACAGCTCACGGGTGCTGGAAAAGAGACATTATCTGCTCTTGATTCCTCTCACCCTAAAGTCAAATGTGGTGGTGTCTTACCAGCAAGTTTTCAAACCCACTTCCCACGTTGAAGCGCACGTAACAACACTGACCATGCAGCTGAGTGAGAAGCCGACAGTGAATACAGCTCCACGCTAAAACAAATAAAGGTGATCTGCCAAGGAGCAGGTAAAAGTTGTCTCTGCAGCTGTTTTACCGTCAACATTGCTAGAAGGCTTTGAGCAATCAGCTCTGATGATGTGCTGGCTGCATTTACACAAACTGCACCCACCTCTCCTCTTCCTCATGACACACATTAGATATTCTTTCATCTCACATCCTTGCTGCTGGTTAGTGATGTACAGGTATCAGACAGCAATGCTACGCTTCCAGTGGCATAGGATGTTTAGGTTTAACAAAACCAAAAAGAAGGCTTTTGGTCAACACGAACCCCGGAGATGAATCTGTGGCAGAAAGTTTTCAGCAACAGACAGGTTTTTTTGTGTGGATGTAAGTGCTGTTACTCACCCTGGAGTCTGAGAATGGGTTAAGCTGCCAGGGCAGACACAGGCAGTAGTCAGTCTGTTCAGCGGTGTGGAACGGACAGGCAATCAAACTCAAGCTGCCCTTTTCTGCCTTTCCTTTAACACGGTTGAAACATTTATAGAGAGCAAAGTTCTTTTTGGCCGCATTCCTCACCTGTGTGGGCTGTGCACAGCACCCGATCATCTCTTGCACTCGGTGCCTGTGTAGGTTCATGGGGAAACTGGAGGGATCAAGTTGGGAGGTGACAGAAGGCTAAACCAAATCACTGCCAGCTACCTAAGAAATAGTCTCTTTTGTGCTGTTCAAAATCCGCTCCCTTCCTTCCCCTCTATTTGGATGGGCATTTCAGAGTCAGGCTGCCGCAGCTGGCACAGCAGGTGCTCCATCCATTCACACTTGGGGATGAAAAATGAGCCCAGGGATTCCAAACATATTGGATGCAAGTTCGGTGAAGAGGTGTATTTGGCTGGCAATCCTCAAATTGAATGTATTAAAGCGATTAAACACAGAGCCCTCTCTACAAAAGGATTTACCTGAGGGCTGCTGTTGGGCTTCTGCAGGCACTGCCAGCTCCCCACCTGGGAAACAGCTGCTGAGACAAGAGTGAGGGCCAACCAACAGTTATAGAGGTATTTTTCTTGCATGCTAGACAGCGTTTTCAGCAAGAATCAATCAACACACCACATTTCTCCTCTGGAGGGCTGAAAATGCTCATCCGGCCCTCCGAATATTTAAGGTGTAATTAGAATTTGCATTATTTACTACTCACTTGTAAACCAAAGGGATACAGGAGGGATAAACAGACTGCTGGGCTTTTGTTCTCCTGTTTGACATCTTTGTGGATTCATTCTTGGACTCATTACCCAGTATAAATGCAGCAGTACCGTAGGGGAAGGATTCCTGAGCTGCCGAGGATTACAGAGTACTAGCAATCCTGTAAAAGAGCGTGCTCACAGACATCTGTCGTCTTTTTTTTTAATCAGATAGCTCTGCAGAAATGCAGGACAACACACATGCATAGCCACCTGTCTGGCCTGAAACAGCGTCTATGATTCTTACAGCCTGATTCTTGCCATGCTGTGGACTTCTTTCATGCTGTCCTTTAAAGTGCTCTGAGTGGCTTTAATGAGTACACTTTTACTTACTCCAAGATCTCATTGCACAGCCCCAGCAAGGCCTTGGTGTAAATAGGAACCAGACTGTTTGAATTTGCCAACAGCTGGTCTGTACACCATGAACTAAACTCTTTAACTATTTTTGGAACCAAGTCAAAGGCGTCTGCACCGGTGCAAGGTTCACTGTTGCAGTGCACAGTTTGATCCTACACATTTATTCTCAGACCAGATGAACACAGAGGGAAAGCTAGCAACTCTTGCTATTCTCCCAAGAACACGGATATATTTTTTCAGCATTTCTTTGCCTGCTGTTCCTCCCTGGGGGCACCCTGAATGCAGTATCACCTACTTCGCTAAGCAGAAATGACTTCCTCCTCTCTCCAATCCAATCTGATTAATCCAGTTGACTGCACCTCCAGCATTTGGCCCTCCAAGCCCTTTATAGATATCTTCCAAGGACCTTGAGCACCTTTCTTGTGCTTTCCAATCTCAGAAATCCATTCTCAGTAATTAAATTCTGTTCAAGCCATGGTTGCTCACAGACAGACATATTAAACAGTGTCTCCAAATGTACCAGTTCAAACCTTCCAATAAATGCAACATACAATTATTTATCAACAGAGATAAGATGGCAAGAAACACATTTCCTAATTCTGCTCTGATGAAAAAGATGTGTAAGATACATGGCACACTAAAATTGGCAGCTGCAGGGAAATAGCTGAAAGATTCAATTACGATGATTGGCAAGGTCGTCCTGGAGGGTGCTGCCAACTGTAATCACATGCTGCAGACCCAGTGGGAACGGAGATGCTGCCCCTTTAGCATGGGGAAATGATTTTTGCCTTTGAGTCTGGGCAGAGAACAGAGCTGTCCTCTAACTCATGGGAGATCCTGTATGATGCTGTCTGATTCACCTTGCCTGCTCGTTCAGTCCTTTACCTCTCATGCAGCATGGGCAGGGATGGGATAAATCATTTGTCTCCCATTAGTACCTATGAGGCTGAGTACTAAAGCCCTGAGTCTTGTGTCTGATCCCTTCTCCCGTCACTACAAGGATTTAACAGAAAGCTCACTCAGGTGAACGTAAAGACAGATTTTGACTTGGCTGATCTTTGGCTTGGATACCATTGACGCAGTCCCCAGTCAGGCACTCCCTAATCACCATACTAATATGAGCAGGATGAGAACTGACAATCAGATTTTTTTTTTTTAATGTCTTCTGTCCTGTGATTCTGATCATCCTGATTTGCTCATACCACAATAATTTCATCAGTTGTAACAAAGACGCTCATCTGATTTATAGAAGCATAATTGGGGACAGAATCAGGTCTTCTAGTCAAGCTAATCAGAATCAATCTAAAAATCCAGAGTGAAAATCACAAGGGAGATGTAGATTAAAGACTCTGGCAATTAACTCAGACCTCCTCATTGTTCCCAGGGAGACAGGAGGTTTACATTGTTTTTTCTGGGGTCACTTCAAAGGTCTCTGCAGAACAATTTCTTTTATTATGTCAAGAAGTTTTCATCATAAAAATCCTTGTCTTTGAGCTCTGCCAAAATTCTTGCAAGTTCTTGGCTATAATCCACTCAAGAGCAGGTTATTTTTTGCTTTAGTGTCAGTTAAGAAAAAAAAAAATCATCCGGGGGGGGAAAAAAACCCCACCGCCCAAACTCCAACCCAATACTAAAGTCAAACACTGAATTACTTTCTGTATATTAGAAAGCACCAATGGCTAGTGCCAGATGGACTGCCGCAGATAGAAATCAACTTCGAGGTGCCACTAATCAATTGAGGAAAGTTTGGAAAATTACTGTGTGAAGTGAAGCTGAAAAGATTATATGAATTGAACGCGCAGTATACAAAACTCCAGCCTAGCCCTGAGGCCTGATCTTTCTCATGGCAAGATTTCACTTCTGTGATTACCTGAACAAACTTCATTTGTAGAGACAGCCTCCCTAAGTATGGTAACTAAAATCAGCGTCTCGCACTTTGATCAAACCCCCTAAAAAGCATAGCTCTGGCAAACAGAAATTTCCTTGGTGGTTGATTTCAGAATTGCAGGTGCTGGTTCAACTCGGTGCCTGGCTGAAGCAGGAGATGAT